TTAATACAACCCAACTCTTCTCATTCCATCCTCACATCACATCAACTTTATTTAATATTCATCCACTCACATATTTTTACTATCGATCATTTTCAATAATTACATCATATCAATTTTAATAATTTTCAATAATTACATCATATCAACTTTAATCATGACATTTTAGATAAACGCAAACTCAATCCCAAAATTAACTCACTTCTTACCAATAAGTCTAACCAAAACAAGTTTTAGTTGAAACCTCATTTGTATTCATCTTAAGTTACCTTCATCTGTCCCTTAACAGTACACATCTGAATTGAAGTACCCTCAACACTTACCTAGTACAGAAACATAACTTTAAGGTTGTTAAGACAGAAAGCTGCCGCCGGACAAAACCATTAGATTTCCGGCCACTGACTGGACGGCCGTACTCATGTCAGGCCCGTGGGCCATGGCCACCTTCTTAACAGCTTTCTTCTTCTCCTTTCGAGCCTTCCTTTTCTTGCCCGACAGTTTTGCCACACCATTAACGAGCAGTTGGTCAGCTAAAGTGCCCGGGAACAAGTTGCCGAGCACCAGATTTCCACTAGGCCTGCCCTTCCGATTAAGCAGCACAGCATCCAGCCTAATGATAGTGCTAAGGATGCTCTTGTTCGGGCCGATTCGGGCTAAGGCCTTCGGGTTGGTTAAAGTGGTGAACGCCAATGCAAATGCTGATCTCGCCTGTCGGATACAAAAAAAAAATGGAAAATCGATAAATTACCCTTGGAAAGTTCAACATCTTCGTTGAGTTGTTAAGATGCCAAGTAATCAAAATTAAGGTGCTAACTGTTGTAGTACTTTTTCAAAATAATGTGAAGAAAGATTGTGCAATATTTTGTTACTTTTACAAAGAGTATAAAATGTGAAAAGATATAATACCCTTACACTGAACTTGGTTTTTCTGTTATTACTTATTAGGGCAATTCTCGAGAGTTGAATAAACCAATATTTAGAGTAAAAAAACAACGGTACAGAATTCCAGTAAATTCCAAATTTAACTCAAGGTTTATAGTTGAAGTTATGACAAGAAACAAGCCATTCCAGATGTGGCATCGGCCCCTTTCTCATTAACAATAAAGCAACCGTTTGAAAATGTGAGCTTTGAAGTTTAGGACCAAATAGTTGAAGTTCACACATTGGAAATATTTTACGTTATCAGCATTGCAAGAAACAAGTCATTCTTGATGCATTTATCATTAGAAGGTTTATTTATTATTGATGCATTTTTGTTTCTTGTATGTGGCAAGAAAATCCTAGAATGTTTGTATATACTTAGGTAAGAAGAAATCCTATTCAGTTTGTTATTTTGCGCATTATGATTTTTTGGGGCTTGGTTTTTAGTCTTATGTTTCTTGTTGTTCACATAGGTGGTTCCTTCTCCCCAATTTAAGTCTGATTTGCCAATGGGCCAAGTCTTGAAAAGACTTCGTAATCCAACGTACGAAAATAGCTTTGTGCCAACAGCTAATGATGCACTGTCGCACCTGCTACGCTAGCTCCAGAGATGATGATATCTATTCCCGATTAGTTCATGTTTTACTTGAACCCGACCTTACTACCGAAACTTGATTTGTATAATCTCGATTTTGGGTTGTGGTCAATTACAAAGGAATTGAAGAACAATTAATTATTGATTATTGTGTTACGTACACAAATGGACCAAACCTAAAATCGAGGTTAGGCATACACAAATGAAGTTGTGAAAGTAGGGTTAGGTTCAAGTAAAGCATGAATTCATCCACTTCATCATCGTATGGGAATCAAATATCATATCTCGAGAGCTAGCGTCCTAAATCCAGACAAGAAAAAGCTAAAGGAGTCGGCACAAAACTATTTTTGTCCCAATCAAAAGTTGATCACAACGTCTTTCAAGTCATGAGACAAATCAGATTTAAAATAGGGAATAGGAAAGAAGGAAACAAAAAAAAAATATATGAACAAGCAGCAAAAAATCACCATGGGTTGAATAGGATTTTTCACTTCTTACCCAATTATATACATTCTAGGATTTCTTGCCACATACATGGAAGAAAAATACATCAATAATAAATAAACCTTCTAATGATAAATACATCGAGAATGGCTTGTTTCTTGCAATGCATAAAGCGACCACTCATAAATATGAGCTTTGAAGTTTAGGACCTTGCACAAATAAAGTTGAGCAAGGTGAATGCTCATAATGTAGAGTATTTCCAATTTGAAAGGGGGGATAATAAGCTGCCTCTGGTGAACGAAACAGTTATAAAGAAAAGATATTCGGACCCAACTAGCCCTTTGGAAATAAGTTCCGTATCCTTAATATAATTAAAACCCTGCTTTCTCTTTATATTAGTTGGTATTGTTCCGTGTGGTAATCATACCCTATGCCTACAATGACGTTGAAGAAAACTTTCACCTGATTATAGTTGAAGGAGTTCTTCCCAATGTCGCTGTCTGGAGCCTGTTTTTAGAGAAAAACGTACCGGTAAATTACAAAAAAACTTCACAAACCCGTAGAAGAAGATCCTAATTTCATATTTTAATTCATTGAGAACATTAAGCTAGTATATCATGCAGTCCGAATTCTGTAGAAAACAACTAAGCATAAAAAGAGATAAAAGATAGACAAAAACATTTGGGAAGTATTTATTGTCGTGCACAATGCCCCTGGACAAGTTATATGATTGTCAGAGGGATTCTTTTGGGTAATAGAAAGAACAATAATTCAAATTTCAAAATTTAACCTGTGGGTCCTCAATGGCGATAAGAGGTGGTTGACCTTCAACTAAAAACCTGAATGCCACATCAGCCCATATCAATAAGCAAAAGCCAGTGTAGTAAACATAAAATTATTTAAATCAGTTATAAAAAAACCTAGGAACATTTTAACAACAATACAAACATATCGTACCCTTTATTACTTTTTGGGAAGAAAACGCCTTCACCAGTGCAAGATACACCAACATCAACTATATTCAACTTGCACCCATACATGTCAAAAAAGTTCACCTAAGTTTCACAAGAACACACAAGATTGGATTAGATTACTATTTGAAGGCTGCACAATGATCTCACTCCGCAGAGAAGCTAGGATGTTTATAATAGTTATAAGGAATTTCGCACAAACATAGATTATGCCACTCCCATTTAGAAAATATTACCAGTAACACTCCTAGGTTACGCTCGGGAGAAGCTTGACGATCATGGTGAGTCTGTAAAGTAAAAACATATCAGCCAGAAAAAATCAAAGGATGAACAAAGTGAGAGGTGCAAAATGAAAGTCAAGGCGCACGCTAGCTAAATAAGTTGCCTACTTCATAAAGAAAAAGAAATTGGAAAACATCTAGCGCACTAGCTAATTGAGTTTATATTCAACCCCAAAAGATTACACCTTCACCAATCCCAAAAATTTTGGAAGGACCTCATTCTGATAGTCTGAAATTCTGATAGTTTTGCATTGAAAAGCAAAACTTCCTAAATAACATAGTAACATACCAACCTATATTTGCATGAAACAAAAAAAAAGTCGTAAGTGGCTTTGCACCAGCATACTTACCCGTAACATCGCTATAAGCATAGAGAGAAGAGCATAAGATCCGATTCCACCTGTGTACACCTGAGGAAGAATGGAACAGTTTAGAAACATGTTTACAGGGTAATAAGTAATAACTGTCTTTCTAAAAAAAAAAAAAAGAAGAAGATAAAAGAATAGAAAGAATAAAGAAAGTAAACATCACCTCATTCAACTCTCTTTGCTGCAAGAAGACCTTCAAAATCATACACAACGGCCTTAGTGGTGGCCATTTAGATACAGCATCCTGTTGTAATAACATAAGATTACATAAATATATCTACGAATTAACTTTGCACTTTGCAGATTGACCAGACAAAATGAAGAGATCCATCAGGAGGCAAAGCAAACACCTTAACATAGTCTGCAGCTTTTGGTCCATTTTGAACATCAAAACTGTTACGGAATATTAATCCAAGTAAGCAATGGACAAGAACATAACAAACATAGAGAAACACACACAATACATGCATATATATATATATATATGAGAGAGAGGGAGAGATGTAATTTAAAAGAAAGCAATCTCCCTTAACCTTATATCAAATGCCACGCCACTTTTCCTTTCCACAAATTTGATAATTGGTACCCGTGCCTTTGCAATGACCTATTATTGCAAAATACATATGATTGAATATACCGTAAAGCATAACCTCAGGAATGGCACCATGTTATGGACCATGCGTTCACATTCGTGGAGAAAACATATTACCAGCGTAGTTAGATATTTTTCCTTGTAATTATTATTGTTTGATTCTAGTTTAAGGATATTATTTTCAACCAGAGGAAAAAATTAAGGCGTGATATCCTACTTTCTTATTTATGTGATTTTGTAATCACTGTATTATAAAGGGATAGACAAGAATGATGAAAGGGACAATCCAGAATATTATCTTCTTCTGATAAGATTTAGGTCTCTCTCTATAAAGTCCTAAGGTTTGAACTCCCTTTGGTGAGTTCACTTATTACTTATCACCATATGTTAATCCAAGATAAATCCATTTTCGGAAACTTGATTTTCCTGTCAATCTTAACCATACACCAAATGCTGGACATGTAGCTCCAACATACTAAGATAGATACCTGTATCTCCTTTGCAATTCTTCTTTGAGATAATGTCCTAGAAAGAGCACGCAGACCCATCTGAGGACTTCTAACATTTGAACCCAATATGACAACCTGACAAGTTAATGATTAATTTGCATAGCCTGATAAATGAATGACTTTTCCATTTAACAGATTCGCCTAACAAAGAGTAAATCCTCCTAATAATAAAACAAAATGATGGAATGATTTAGAAATCTTTCCTTTAGAAAAAGGTTAAGGTAAATAGCAACTGTAAACTATGTGTCCCCAATTAGACCTTTTTCATCACGCATTTTGATCTATTCAAGTCATGAAATGCTGTTGAATATATTTACTATAACTTAATTACGCGTCACAACACAGCAGTGTATTATAAGCACAACTTGGAAGGGATTAATACTCACTTTAACCCAACATTAAGTGCCCCACAATCTTATTAAATGCTACAAAGATAATGTATTTTTTATTATAGATCAGCCAAGTTATCGTCAAATGTAATCTGGCATGCAAATCAAGGGTCAAGACCAACTTTGATAACTCATGGTCCATTTCTTGTCAATGATCAAACAAGTTACACTTCTACTCCAGGAAAAATCCTATTACTCACTTTATAAAGGAATCAACGTATAAACAGATATTTCATAAAATGTTAACTGTGCAACCCACCTCCATCACATTCAAAAGCAGACGGGCATTCAAGTTCAAGAACATTTGTGAATAAATCAATACAGGATTTATACAGAACCTGCCTTCAATACAAGGTAATACAACAAACAACCAACAAGCTTACTGCTTACATCAATATCACTAGAAGGAATGTAAAGCCCAGTCTTAAAAGATCCGAAAACTTCCACCTGCAAGCCAAAGCTCATAGTAAGTACAAATGGCACTCTGAAAGCTGATCTTTTACCCCCACAAAAACAAGCATGCAAGCATGAAATTCCATGGTACCTCAGCACTAGGCCACAAAAATTTGATAACACCAGACACAGATTCTACAGCAGCATTCCTAGATTCTTGCTCCTCTGGCGTTGGTGATAGAAAATCACAAAAATCAAGTATCTCTGAACATATCAAATCCAAAGTAACCCACCATCAATCATAACCGGAGGTATCAAATATTCAAGTCTAAAACACTTAATAGTTATTTTTTATTCTCTCTAAGCAAGCTGAATTTCACGGCCAACAGTGTCCCAAACAACCTAAACATTAATCGATAAATTTGTAAACACGTTGATTTGGACTAAAAAGACGCATACAGCTTAAGTACCTTTATGAAGCCTCATCATTGGGCTTTTGAAGCGATAATTAGCACGAGACCACCTGCCCTCTGGCGTCCTCTCCTCCGCCGGAGCTGCAGTTTCCGCCAACTGAGGAGGCGGAGGAGGAGCTGCTACAACTGAGGTCTCCCTATCCTCGGCTCCCTTCATATCGAGGGAGAAGTAATCTGGGGCTGCAGATTCCCGCAAAGGCTCTCCATCGCCGGCGACGGAGATCTGGTTGCGGAGGACGATGTAGGGCTTCGATTGGGAAGACGCAGGCGCCGCCTCGGTGGCGCCGAGAGGGCTTAGGGTTTCGTATAGAATTACCATCGCTGTTCGAGGGCAGCTAGGCGCGCCCGGGCGAAGACCCACCGTTAATTGGGGTGTCCTTTTATTTTCGGGTCGGGTTTTTTCGTACGAATGGGAAATAGAATAGTTCGACTGCGGCGGGTCGGGTCAATAAAGCGAACGTGTATGGATTCGTGGTGGTGGAATTGCGGCGGCCGCCGCCGGTCGGAAGAGTTGTACTGAATCTGAATCTAAACGATGATCCTAAAATAAAAAAGGATACATTAACGTACTCGTACAAAACTGTACAGATGAAATTGAACATAAATTGTTAAAAGAGTTACCGCTAGAGTAAAATTGATGGGTAAAAAGGGTAGATTTTTTTGGAGGAAGGAACGAATTACATTGTTAATTAATATGAAATAAAAATAATAATAAAATTAAGTAATAAATTATAAGAAAAATATGGCATCTGACTGTTACATATTCCAACGGAATGATTCCGTAATGGAACTGTAACATTACTTTAAGATATAATAATAATTGGAATTGCTTGATAGTCTATGATAGATATATAGTGAATTTTGTTGCAAAATAGATAGTATTAACCACGATTCTGAAAATTGAACCGGTCATCAAACCGGTGAAGCTACTGATTCAATGGTTCACTGATCGGACCAGTGATCGAACCGATTGAACCGGTTTAATTAATATATAATTATATATATTTATCATTAATTTTATAGTGTATGACATTTCTCTAAATAATAACTCAATAATAGATACAACCGACAATATTGATTAATTTTTATATTTTTTATTTTAATTTATTTTTAATATTTGAAATTTTAATCTATATTTAAGTTACAAAATAGAATAGAAACAATCCTATTTTAATTTTAAATCACATTTTAAATTTTTTATTATCGCTTTAAAAAATAAAAATAATGTACATAACAAACAACAATAATTTGCTTATTTCTTTTTTAATAAGTTGGGAATAGATGTAGCCCAATAGATAGTCTAATTTAAAAAATAGTTATTTTTTAAGAGGAATTTACACCACATACTTTCATATATATTTTATATTACATATTTACACCTAATTAATACTTATTTGCAAAGATACAAAATCATCTCAATATATTTGCACATATACCATATTTTATAAGTTGTTAATTACGATCTAAATATGGAATTGAATCAATTATTGATTTATTGAGATAATTAATAACTTTTTATTTTCTTTTCCCTTTTTCTTTTCCTCCTCCTTTTTCTTTTCTTCTGCAACATCCTCCGGCATTGGTCAAACTGTGTGGGACCCGTTTTTTATTTTGACGGTCGATTACTGAGTTTGCTGCGTTTGTGTCTTGCAGAGAGAAGCAGTTTAACATGAAAAAAGATTTGAGATGTTGCACATTGATAGAAGAGAAAAGGTTTTAGGACATTGGGCTACTGGAAATTGAGTGGCTCTTGTAGTTTATCTATTTTCTTTTTTTTTTTAAGCCCCCACAAATACATTATTTCTTGTTTGCATTTCATTTTTTGATCTTTCATTTGTTTATAGGGAGATACTATAAAAANAAAAAAAAAAAAAAAGAATTGAATTTGGTTTCCCAGGTGCTATCACAATATGGTCCTGATACTTTTGATGCGTGTCGCTGTGTTCCGTGACTCACGGATGGAGATCCTCGGCGATGGCTGCTTGTTGTTGTGCTCCTCTACTGGTTGCTTACTACTCGGGGTAGGAAAATCGATGTTTGGTTTGATTTTTTTATTATACAAATTAGTTTATGATCATTACAGTATATCTACGGATATTCGATTTTTTAGGGATATTGGACTGTGAGATTACGTTGAAATTTGCAGACTTTGAATTTTAGTATATGTGCAATATATCTACGTTATATATACAGTATATGTTCACGGCAGTATATGTTCAATATATTAAAAGATTTTTTTGTACACTGTTCAATATATGTCATGTATTAGAAAACGATTTTGACAAAGCATAAATTGATTTTTTTAAATTTTTTTTTGTATATGTATGGTTTATATTCAGTATATTTTTTGTATATGATAAAGAAATTTATCGCGAGACATAATTTTTATGTATAAAATCAATTTATATATAGCATAAACTGATTGCAACATATACTGAATATATACTAACATAAACGCAACATATACCACCTGACAACTGTGTGAATTAAGAAATTCCAGTTGCGCACATATACTGAATATGTACTAACAAAACTCAATATATATAACCTGACAACTGCGTGAATTAAGGAATTCCAGTTGCACGAATTAAAGAATTAAATGGGTAGGTTATTTATTTTCATTTCTCTCTCTTATGAGTCAACGTTTTTTGTATGGTAACTGAAATCAAGTAAATCTCCAATTAATTCAATAGTTTTAGGTACATATGCAATTAAATTTATAGTAGCTGCAAAATCGCAAATAAATATAAATCTTGTAGGATAGATGAAAATTTCCCTTTTTTTAATGAGTACAATATTGCTTGTAAGACCCAATATTGGTCCAATCATTTTACCCAGGGAACATATCTCACATTCGAAACATAAGTAAAAAATGTATGTTATTTAAATCAATTCACAATCAACCAATTTCAAATTCAAAAGCTTGAACCGTTGAACCATTTGAACCGGTCTCGGTTCACCGCTTCAACCGGTTTTGGACCGGTTCGAACGCTGGGCGATTTAATGGTCCACACCAGACCGGAATGAAGGTCGGTTCCCGGTTGAACTGGACGGTCCGATCCGCTTTTGAAAACCATGGTATTTACTTATAATTTTTCATATATTAATAAGATTAGGAAGAAAGGTGTAAGAATGCTTTACATCTTTTCAGTATATCAATAACAGTTGGGAGAAAAATATAATAATTGTTGTTAGAATTTTTACTTGTGGTTTCACCTTTTTTGGATTCAGGATGCACCTACCATATGTCTTTCATAAGGGAGTGGTTCTTCAATTTTCAATATAATGGAGGAGTTGTTTATATGGGTAATGATAATACTTGTAAGACAACCGGGATAGGTTCAATCCGTTTGAAAAATCCCGATAGATCTACCAGAGTTTTGGCGGATGTTCGGTACGTGCCGAGTTTGAAGAAAAATTTCATCTCATTAGGAGCCTTGGAATCCAAAGACTTGGTAGCAATGTTCTAGAAGTCGCTAGGCGCCTGCTAGGCGCTCGACCAGCGCCTAGCGCCTAGAGCGCCTAGTCGGGGACTAGGCGGGGCCTAGAAGTTATAATAAATATATTATATTATTTATTTTCAAAATTTCACTAATGAAATTACAACTTATAATTAATAAATCCATACACCTAACTACCAATAATATTATACTACTATCATTTTTTTCATTTTTCAAATTTAAAGTTTTAAATTTTTACTAAGTTCTTCTCATTGTAATTTTATCAAACACATTTACTACATGTTATGTTTTAAACATTACACAACATAATATAATTACAGTAACCAACTAAACACCAAATTCCACTAATCACATCAACTAATTAACTAATTAATTTAACATAAATAATAATACAATACAACAAATGAGTAACTAAATAAGAGGTATAAAAAAAATATGTGCCCAGTATATGGAAATTGCGAAAGTTGCTCAATCCCTTCCGAAGGAAGGAAAAAGCTGCTCAGTAAAGTAGAAGCTACTTCTTTCTTCTTTCGCTTGTTCACAATCACAACTCTCCGATAAGCCAATTTCCTTCTCTGAAAGATGTACATAAAACCTCTTTCTAGATTATTAATAACACAATATCCCATTTTTTGTGCAGCACCATCACGCCATCACCCTAGCAGCATCGCTGTCAACAAGCCCCCCTTTTTTTTTTCTAAAAATCTGTCAAACCGCCGAGAACCCGCCTCAGCCGCCGAGAACCCGCCACAGCCGCCTAATCCCGCCAAATCCGCGTAGCCGCCGTGACCTCCGAGGCCGTCTACGCCCGCCTAGCCCGCCTAACCGATTTTTATGGCCGATTTTAGCAAATCGTCGGCGGTGGACTGCCGCCTAGCGCCTAGGCTAGGCCGATTTTTAGAACACTGCTTGGTAGTGACTTTTAGAGATGGAGTTATGAAGGCTACATCCGGCTCGCTCGTGGTGATGAAAGGCATCAGAAAAAATAATTTGTATTATTATGAAGGTGATACAGTAGTTATACGCTTGTTTGACAATGTAGTATTTCTCTTAAATTTATCTTTCAAAGTTTTTAACATTTAATACACTTAATAATTATATCGAAAGATAAATATTACGAGTTAAACGTTGGTCAAATATTAAACAATGTACAAATTATAAATTGTTGAAAAAATCATATAACTATTATAAACGACAATTTTATAAGTACATACAAATAATTTATATGCGAATATCATATATTCTTATACATTTATAATATTTTATAAACTTATAAATAATATAATTTATATATTAAATAATCAAAAAATAAAATATATATAAATAAAAATTAACAATAATAGTAAATAAATAAATATAAATAAATATATATTATTACTGAATAGAATATTATAGAAAATATAATTTCATATTGTCTTAAATAATTTATAATATTTAAATAAAAAATATTTAAGACAATTCATTTTTTTACTTGATACTTACAAAATTATTCAATTTTCCTCATACATTACTTTTCAACTATATGATATTAATCAATAAGATAGACTATTCCCCATAACAATAGACTATTTATAATTTCTCACCATTCTACCCTACAAATTAAAAGATAAATATTCCAGATAAAAAAGACTATATTTCTTTTAAGGAAATGGAAAAATTATTTTTCCAACAACAGCAAACAGAGGAATTAAACAGAGCACAATACAAATGAAAGAGGCGCTTCAACTTCTGCGGATTTTTTCTTTTCTCCACCAAAACAAAGGGCAAATAAATGCAAGAAAATTGAAAAATAACAGAAACAATGATAAATCAAAATCTAAAATCACAAGAAATTTCCGTAGCACCGTCACTTCCGGCGACGGGGACGATCACCGTCATCGTCTTCATCGTCCAAATCGGACCCACTGTAATCCTGCGCTTCAGCGTCGTCCACGTCGTCGTCATCCTCATCGCTATCCTCCTCATCGATATCCTCATCAACCATATCATTATCATCATAGTTGGGCACAAACGTCCTGGACGCCTCGATCCGCGCGCCGGAGAAACCGAACGGCAGTTGCAGGCCCAGTGGCAGATCGGACGCGCGTGGGCTCAGCTCCCAGCCACCCGATGAAC